TACATTAGGAACATTCCATCTAGTTTGCTAAAGGTGGCAATCCTTTACCTCCTTCACGTGAGTCGACTTTATGGCATCTTCGAGAACATCATGCAGCTCTCGTTCAGTTAACAAAAAACCAAATGCAATAAAAATTACGGTGAAGCTGTTAATCCCGACAAAGAAGTTTTTTTCTAGTCTCTTCAAATCACTATGTCTGTCCTTATACCTCCTGCGGCAATGCACTCTTTTTTATCTCTTTCAAGACGGAAATGCCATATAAGTCTTTGAGAGGGCAGTGATTTTGGCATACATTCTGATTTGCAAATCGTACGTCACCAAAATGTAAGAAAATAACACTGGAAAAACTTTGTAATTATTCTATCTGTTTAGAAAATAATAGCGAAGTAAATGGTTCAGTAAAAACTCTAAGATTAAATTCACAACTCTTTATTGGTACTATCCTGATACCGCAAGTATGACGACTATTAAGTGGAAGCCGTTTTTGGGACGGATCGGAGATCCCCTGAGTAATGTGGTCAGACACAGAAAAAGGGATTAAAAATGCTCAAACCAACTTTGGCAAGCGCACGAAGTTCAAACAAACATTTTTGCGAAATAAACGCGATAGTCGGACACCCTCAATGTAACTTTCTTGAAAGTCAGAATCTAAGAAAATGCATTTGTTCTGATAGAGCTTATTTTACTTTGTCTGAGAATGCACATATCTTTTGCAGAACCTGTGTCCTTCCGACGGCGGCGGCCCAGGAGTTCCCAAAGCCTCGCCGCCTTTCCTTGCAGGGGTACTTAGCACCCCCAAGGGGCTTTCGCAACTTTTAGACGGCTCCGCCCGATTGCTCCGCCCACTAGCTAATCTTATTCCGAGTTGTGCAGTCTTGGAGAATAGTCACGATGTGTTCTGTTGAATGGGTGAATAATGACGGATGGAAGATGACAGATGAGAAGTTACGAAGTCTACGTGTGGGCATCGCTTTGTCGGAAGCAAAGATACTTCCGTTTTCGGGATTTTCAGCCAGAGAATATGTATATATGTACGTCTGATGTAAAAACATCCATTCACCAAGTTACACAAGTGCAGTTTTTGATGGAGTTTCATTTATTCGGATTTTTCGGACAGTTGGATTTTTCTATTAGGTTATCCCAAAAGTAAACTCCTTTTTTGAATAACTCAAGCTGTTTTTGTTTTCCTAGTACATTTAGGATATCATTTGATAGAGCAGATCAAGCTCTACTAAATGACCTCCAAGGGTCCGCTTAAGTCACCTTCCATATAAAGTTTGAAGCCAAAATCGAAAAAAATTTTGTCACCTAAAAATTGGATTTCTGCCACAAAGAATCCTACAGACCTCCAACTTGGTCATTATATTAGGTTGTCAGGAAAATAATGTCCGTTTTTATTTGCTTGCTTTAACAAAGCAACCAGACTGAACCCAACAAAGGGTAAGGGGTACTGTTCGATAGAGCAAAGCAAGCTCTACAAGATGGCACTCATGTCTTTGCGCCAAGCTCGATCCACTGAGAGTTCGAACTCAAAATCTAAAGATTTCCAAATGCCCAAAAAATCGAAAAAAATCAGATCTTCGTCCAGATAATTTCTACGGACCTCCCACTCGCTCATATCAATACTATCGATATCAGATATCCATATGTGCGATTGGCGTATTTTTTCCTTGACTAGAAACTGAGAAAACGAAAATTTCCCTGATTTTCTCAAAGCAATGCTGAGCCGTTTCTGCAAGTGTGGTTCTATACTATAAGCCTAGGTAAGTATAACTGTAGATTTTCAGCCCATTCCAAGCGGTAGTTTTCGAAAAATAACGAATTCGGATTTTTTCGTTTCAGTTTCAGTGCTAAAATCGACATTTCTCGAAAAGTACCGTTCGAAATAGGCAGAAAATTTACAGTTATGCTTACCTAGGCTTGCAGTATAAAACTACATATGCAGAAACGGCTCAGCATTGCTTTGAGAAAATCAGGGAAATTTTCATTTTCTCAGTTTCTAGTCAAGGAAAAAATACGCCAATCGCACATATGGATATCTGATATCGATAGTATTGATATGAGCGAGTGGGAGGTCCGTAGAAATTATCTGGACGAAGATCTGTTTTTTTTTTCGATTTTTTGGGCATTTGGAAATCTTTAGATTTTGAGTTCGAACTCTCAGTGGATCGAGCTTGGCGCAAAGACATGAGCGCCACCTTGTAGAGCTTGCTTTGCTCTATCGAACAGTACCCCTTACCCTTTGTTGGGTTCAGTCTGGTTGCTTTGTTAAAGCAAGCAAATAAAAACGGACATTATTTTCTTGACAACCTAATACATTAGGCATATAGTCGTACACAAATATGCCTTTATCGAATCTTTTCCGAGCATAGAAAGCGAGAAACAAAAATTGTCCAAAAATGGCAAACTCCACCCCAGCCCCTCCCACATATGTCATTGTATACTACAAGCGTTACTAAGTGTAATTTCAAAACCTTACCTCTGTATTTGCTTTATAACCAGGAAATACCAAGTTTTACATAAAAAACCCGAAAAAAGTGGCATTTTGGCCTTTTGGGACCCTATTTATTTCCCAATTTTGAGCTTCGGAAAAAATGCACCAGATACATTCTTGGGTACTACTATATGTCTACTATATAGAGACCAAGTTGTAAGTCCGTAGGAATTCTCTGGAACGAGATCCGATTTTTAGGGTAGCTAAAAAATTTTGATTTTTGGCTCCAAAATTTACCTAGGTTACGAATTAGATGGAACCTTGGTAGTCTTTTCGTAGAGCTTGCTGCGCTCTACCGAATGGTATCCTAAATCTGTCAAAAAAACAAAAACAGCTCAAGTTAAATAAAAATGGAGTTTACTTTTGGGACAACCTAATAGTTTTTGGCTACAACTTTGCGTAGATCAAATTCGATGCAGCTTTTCAAAACACTACCTTGTAGAGCTTATTGTGCTCTATCGAATCAAAAGCACAGAATCTATCCAGAGTAAGCGAACTTTGACATATTGCGGTTCAGACCAGTTTTGGAGCAAGATCTTGACTTATTAACCGAATACTTTGAGCTTCTCATCATTTTCAACAACTTTTTCATAGAATTTGAATGCGTTTTCAATACTGATAATATTTCCTTTTTGTTTGAATTCATGTTCTGGTGCTTTTCATAATATTGAATGATAAGAAAGACCTTTTTTCTGGAGAGATTTGTTGATACTTCTGCAATTAATTTTGGCTAAATATCCGCTGAAATTTTTGTAAATTTTCTGTTAGCATGCCAAAATGATTCTGACCTACTATATAGGTCGATGCAAAAGTTCTCGCCCAAAACAAAGAAAATACAATTATTTACTAAAATTTGAACCTAAGTTTATGGCTTCTTCAGAAAAAGAAATGGGTTTTGCGTTTCAAGATAGTTATACCAATTCATCATTTCGTTGGCACCTCAGAAAAACAAGCTTTTGAAGATTGCACTGCAAATTTCGTAATTTTGAGTCTGGCTGTAAATAGTGCCAAAGTGGTAGTGTCAAAGCGGCGATGGTTTTCCTCAAGAAATCTTTGGAACGTTCATAGCAATGCTCCGTACGTTTGGCAAGCTTTAATCTATGGCAGAAACACAAACTGTGAAGAATTTTTTGCAGGGAAAATCATCTTATCAACGCATTTTCTTCACAAAACACAGTTTTGAACCAAAAATATACTCACTGCTTTCCTAGAGTACTGTAAGGTTTTTTAGGGTTTCAAAGTGCCTTTGCTTATAAAGTGCAATAATGTGCGCAAGATGACGATTTTTCATCCATTTTCGTTGCATGCCTATGCTATTCCCTTAGTCCGCAGTCTTCGAATGAGACCAGTGAGGGAGTGGAGCGAGGGCGAGGTTTGACCTCTGTTGCGCGAAGGTGCGAGGAGCCTTCTGGAGTGTGAATGCTGGTGCGAATGGAGGTCCTAGGAACTCCTGCGTCCCTTCCTAGGAACTCCTGCGTCCCTTATTAGGAACTCCTGCGTCCCTTCCTCCTTCCAACTTCTGGCGCCAAAGTCAGCGCCCCCGATCTTGCACATTGCCAGCTCATAAATGATTACGCGGCAGCTATAACTGACTCAAGTTTGGAGTCACTTAACAGTGCAAATAGCTGAAGCTCAAAGTGGCAATGGCAAGGCAAAATACTGAAATTCTGAAGCAGCAAAGAACTTATCTTTTATAGGTTGACCATAATCTAGCTGGGCTCCGACTTAACGCAAATCTCTTGACGATTCTTTTTTTACGCTTGAAAGCAGTACAATTAATTCTGAATGCGTAGACTTCTTCTAATGTGTGGAAACAAATTTAAAGCTATGGTTAATGTTGTAACAGCTCGTATAATCTAATCGTGAGCTAGAAACAATTCTAAGTCCAGTCCAGACGGTAAGCTTAGTGATAATACGGTCCTGGTCCCAGTTAAAGGCAACGGCTCGGCAGATTGACCTACCTCAGATTTTGACACAGATGGATAGGAGGCCCTCCAAGTGAACCAAAACAGCAACTATGCGCCGAAAATGTGAACCCTGCAAGCCAAGGGGGGCGGTCCAAGCGCCGCTCCCCTTCCTCCTTTCGCTCCCCTAACACCTTGTTCGGACAAGTATTCTCCGCTAGACGGCGCGGGACCCCCCAACCGCTTCCCTGCATTGTGCATGCTATACAAAGCCAAAATTACAGGCAGCAGGGTCTTCGTGCCAGGGCCTCCCGATTTTCCTTTGAAAATTCTCGTCCGAGCTGCCTTTTGGAAATTGAAAAAAAACGCCCCGAAAAAGGCCTTTTCACCCCTTTTAAAACTCACATTCGGGATCTACGGGTCGAGAAGGCCCAGAACATGCAAAAAGATGGAAATGCAAAATCTGCCGAGACGCTGCCTTTAAGAAGTAAATTTTTTAGCGCAGAATCATTTTGAGCCATGTAACCGTTAAGAATGGATAAATTAAGTTAGTAGTTGTGTAAATGCGATGGCAACAAAAACAGAAAGCAGCGAGTATAGATTTATCTGCGATTAATACAATCAGTCGATTCACCGCTGAATTTGTCGGCAAGATTTATCGTTCCGATATCAAAGGTCTTCTGAGGAAGTTCACCTTCAGTGATGTAATTGTCTGGGATTGTTATGCCAAACTTTTTGTAACAAATCTAAAATCACGTCAACACTAAGACAGTCAGGCATTGAATTTCGCTTTTTGAACAACCCACCCCATCATAGTTGCACTTGTGATAAATATTGACTTTCGGGTCAATGGTTGTTATTTCAACCTTTGATCCGGTCACTGTAAACTCGCCATTTTGATTTGTTTTGGTCTCGTCCAACTTGACGTCGAAGGCTGAAATAAAACGTGATTCATTTCACAGTCGTAACTAGTGGACTCAGGAGGGCTATATATATATCCCCCCCCCCCACCCAAACATGGCGAAAGTTTAAAAATGGTCTGCCTGAAGAAATTGTGCACGCTCAGATTTTTTCCATTTTTGTAGGTGCTTGATATTTTTGATTTTATAGAATTTGTGAAAAATTGTGAAAAATTTTCAGAAGCCTGCTACCACCACGCCCTTTTGTAAAATATCAGGTTGTCCCAGAATCTTTTCTAAATAAATCAAGCTGTAGTATCATTTGATAGAGTGGATAAAATAGTTAAGCAGTCTCAGCATTCACATAATCTGTCCCCTGGCTGCTTTACAAACACAAGCACAATATTGAAGATGTGTTCTCTGATTATTTTATGACCAATCATGACTACAAAGCTCTATCAAAATGACGATCAAAGATCCGCTTGAGTCGTAATCCAGATAAAATTTGGAGAATTGAAACGCATCTTACCACCTGAAAATTGCTTTTTTTGCAAAAAAAATCTCACAGATCTCTAATTCGGTCATCTTTCAGTAGTTTCATAGTATTATAGTACCCAAGTATGCTTTTACTGGTTTTTTTAGCGCACAAAAGCGAGAAAAAAACGATAGTCCAAAATGGCAAGTCCCGCCCCAGCCCCTCCCACATATCTCATTGTATACCACAAGCCTTAGTAGGTATAGCCCGAACATTTTACCTCTGTGTGCATCTTGGTAATTGAGAAATACCAAGTTTAATATTTGAAAAACCCAAAAAAATGATATTTTCGCGTTTTTGGGCTACATTTCTCAGTTTTGAGCCAAGAATAAATCCATCAAGTGCATTTTTGGGTACTACGTATTATGTGTCTTTGTATATTAACCAGATTCAAAGTCCGTAGGAATTCTGGTAGAAGATCAGATTTTTAGGATATTTGAAAATTTCTGTTTTTTGCTCCAAATCTTATCTTGATTACGAATTAGGCAGATCATTGGCGTCATCTTGTACAGCTTGCTTCGTTCTATCGAATGGTGCTTTAAGTCCGCGGAAAACAAACACAGCTTGATTCATTTAGAAAGGACTTTTACTTTTGTGACAATTTAATAAATTTGCAAAACTGGTACACGTTTTAAAAAGTTTTTTTCCGGAAATTTCTAGAGAATCCCTAGCTTGTTCAAAATTTTAGGGACTTACTGAGTTCTTTCTCGTACAGCTTTATTTTGATGCCAGAAGCTGGCCGTCCGTTGCACATTAAACGTCCGGTGACCTCGACAGATTGTGTACTGCCCAAGATTCCTAGTAGGGCAAACGATGAGCCCACAAGACTGAGAAGTAGGAGGTGCTGCATCTGAAATTTTGGTTGATAAAGCCATTTTATAGCCCAGTACATTTGACGGTTAATATGGTGAACGTTGCCGAAAACATCTGGTAGTGAACAATGCTAAAGGGGCTCCATGGCAGAGGTGCGATAGTCGGAGCCGATTCTCCGCCTACCTTCACTTTTGAGCTGGTACAGGGTGACCACCTTCACTTTTGGGTTTGAAAATTTTTTTGCTAAAGCTCAAAAGAAGGAAAATAAGCAAGAAATGTAAAAGAAAGAATTAAGAGCTTATATCTATGTAGTAGGTCGATCCAGGCAGTAACCGCCGAGAACCAGAATTTTGAATGGTAAAATAATGAAAAATCGTGAAAAATCATTCCACTGTTACAAATCTGCTGGCTGAAGAACTCCGCAGTTGCGACTTCATAGGTTTTGAAGGGTAAGTGTTGTTCTACCAGACATTGAAAGAATCAGATTGATTTGAGGAGTGGCCGCCGAGAACGAGAATTTTGAAGAACCTTGAAAATCTTCTCAATTTTAGGTTGCTTAATGACAACTGAAATTTAAACTCTTGTAAATCCGGACTTTGAAGGTGTGTGATGTTGCGACTTCATAGGTTTTGTAGGGTGAGGTTTGCCCTATCAGAATATGTCTTAGCTGTACCGATCCATTGAAACATCGCCGAGATCCAGGCTCTTGAAAAAGCAGGTAAAAACCCGTTTTTCAGCATAACTTCTTCAGAATTGCATAATTCATGTTGCGACTTTATAGGTTGGATTTTCCTCATCAAGAGCTTTCAGATGATATATAATATGTGGGGGATTCACGCCTCCCACGGCATATGCCTGGGGGTGGAGTACCTCTCTTCACTAATTCTCCACTGGCGGCCTCCCGCCAATAAATTGAAATGGGCGGGGTGGAGAATTAGTGAAGAGGAGTACTCCACCACGGGTTAGAGCCGCAAGAAACATTGAATCCCCCACATATTATATATCATTTGAAAGCTCTTGAAGAGGAGAATCTAACTTATGAAGTCGCAACATGATTCATGCAGTTCTGAAGAAGTTATGAGCTGAAAAACGGTTTTTTACCCGCTTTTTTAAGAGCCTGTATCTCGGCGATATTTCAATGGATCGGTACAGCTAGGACATATTCTGATAGGGCAAACCTCACCCTACAAAACCTATGAAGTCGCAACATCACACACCTTCAAAGTCCGGATTTACAAGAGTTTAAATGTCAATTGTCATTAAGCAACCTAAAATTGAGAAGATTTTTAAGGTTTTTCAAAATTCTCGTTCTCGGCTCAAATCAAACTGATTCTTTCAATGTCTGGTAGAACAACATTTACCCTTCGAAACCTATAAAGTCGCAACATCACGCACTTTCGCAATCAAGATTTATATAAGTTTAACTGTCAGCTGTCAAAAAACAACCAAAAATGGCGTAAATTTTTAGAATTCTGGTTTTCGACGACTATCTCTCAAATCGAATCGATTGCTTCACTATCTGATAGAGCGCCATTTACTCTTCAAGACCTATGAAGTCGTAACTGCTGACATCTTCAAACAACAGATTTATAACAGTGGAAATTTCGCATGATTTTTCACTATTTAATTATTTAAAATTCTGGTTCTCGGCCGTTACTGCCTGGATCGATCTACTTTCTTCACTGTGCATTATAACAAAATTTAATCAATAAAATACGCACAATTTCGCTGAGTTTTACTTTCAAATGCACTATTTGATAAGCACGTTTATTTTAGATATTTATGACGCTATATCCATAAAAAATATGATTTCAATGATCCCTTTTGCATTTGTTTTGCTTATTTTCCGCGCACTGGCGGCAACGACCTGGAAGGATAGACGTTAATGCTCCCCCCCCCCCCTCCCGGTCGATGTTTTTGGGAGGTGAGTGTCCGGCACTACCACCTTCACTTTTGGCCGGCCAGTGGTTCCGGGGACCACCTTCACTTCTGGTGGGCCCGGCTCCCCCCATCGCACCTCTGCTCCATGGCCTTGGCCATTTCGCACAAATGTTGGCTTCACAGCAGGAACCTCTGAGTTACCTTGTTCCTTCTACAAGAAAAGTAGATGAGGAGGAGTGAAAGGAAGGGGCGTAACTGACTATTGTTCTACGAAAATTCACAGCTCTTTCGATTATCTTGGTTGATTCTTTTACTTGAGAAAATGTGATGAGTAGACAAGTCGATGAAAGCAAAAACTGGAAATTTTTAGCATTTTGGGCTGTGTTTGAACAAATCTTGGTCAAATTCTAAATCCAGTCCAGACCATAAACATTTTGTATGTACGAGACAGTGTTCTGGCATACGGTAGGATAGGGTCTGGGCTGTAGTTTGGGTTTAAATATTTTGCTCAAAAGTGGATCGTTTGCGTTGCCGTCTGATTAATGTTTTAGTTGGAGTCTCCCAATCATCTCCCCCCCCCCCAAAAAAAAATCTCAGCTTCTCAGTTTTGCTATTATGGGCTAAGATCTTTAACTTTTATTGACAAACGAAGGAGGTATGTATGACTTGTAGTAATGAAAATCAAAATTGGCGAATTTTTAAAGCAGAATGCTGTTGTTCAGTTTCAAGAATTCAAGCCGTGTGACCACTAATAGTTAAGATAATTTGAGGCAACGATAAACAATATCGATATAGAATACATGATATAGACAACAATAGATACAAAATGTGAAAAGGCCTTACACATGACGCATAATCTAGATGTCTTGATAATATTATTAGGGGTCCCATGAGAATATTTTACCGTTCTTATCCTAAACATCAGCATTTTCCGAGAACTAGAGCACTTGCAAGAGATACAAACACATAATCGTATTTCTGTATGCATGAGTTTTGCGATCACGAGCGTGGGAGGAGCTCAGGAGGGCGGAGTTTGCCTTTTTACTCCATCCATTTTCTTGGTTTCGTTATGGAAAAAATACGGGAAGTGTACGATTGAATGTCAGATATGTCAAGCATATGCTGAAATAAGTGTGGAATTTTTAAAATTTTTTGGAAGGAAGATACACTTTTTGACGGCTTGCTTTGCACTGTCGAATGAATCTCAAGCCACATCAGTCGCGGAAAAGATACAGAAAGACGAGGGTAGTAGTAAAAACAGTGAAAAATCATGGGACACCATAATATATGATAAAATAGTACAACTCAAATTATAAAATTGTCTGTAAATATGTTATAGAATGAAGCTTGAAAGTAAATGGTCTATAAGTTTTTACAACATCAACAATGTAGACATTAACACATCGCCACTAATTGAAACAGAAGGATGAGGTTGTTACACAGTGTAATATTTGTTCCCAGTGATCTCATTGTAAACACAACCATGTGATGCCGTTGACCCCGTAAAAGTCAGATCTAATTTGGTAATACATTCATATTGTTTTATTTTGTTGAAGAGAATTTTGTTCATAAGTTTGAGATTCAGTAATTTGAGAGTACATTGATTTGATGGCAATTTTTTTCACAAGGAGGATTTTACACAGACGAGAATGCATAAATTTTTTGGAAACTTGAAGCGCTCCATAGAGTTACTCCGCGCCACCAAAGCGTGGTATTTTCCAAACGATGCTATAAGCTACCCTACAGGGGTTTTGAAAAGTTTCTGGCCTCATGTACTTCAAATGCGAAATCTTCGCTAACCCTAGAAACAGAATTAACAATAAAAAATTTTTTGCTTCAAGGTATTCTGCAAATGCGAATGTAACGAACGTGACCGCGAAATTACAGCGGGTGATCGTGCAAGTTTGCGTTGAATTTTGCTTACATGAGTTTAAAATTTTGTAAAAGACTTGTTTTGATATGTGTATGTGTAGCACAACTCTCTTACTCTTATTATGTTATTTCAAAATTTTTGCGCGCTTACAAAGTTTTTGAAGATGAATTACAAAGATGATGGAGCTGGATTTTTTGATGAAACTTTGAAAGCGAACTTCTTGTTTTTCATGGTACAGTATTCCAAAAGAACCCATTTCTACGAAATTAAAAACACATGTAAGAATGGAAAGAAAGGGCTTTTAGATGCTTTACAAAGCCGTCTGTAAAATATGTCACCTTCTTTGTGACAAGCATTTCAAGGATAGAGACGTGGAAAGCTATACTGATTGCGTTTCAAGCTACTAAAGAGAACCTAGAAACCACAAAAAACCTAACTTTTACTGAAATGATGGTTTCTGAGTTTTGATGAACACTGTAAAACGAATCAACCGCGTCAAATTTGAGTATTTATTCAAAAGTATTCTAGGCATACCTTCGATAGTCTAGAGACAGGGCGTCAAAAGTGAAGCTTGTCTGAACATTTCACGTCATAAATAGTGAAGGTTGTTTCAAGAAGATCAGAGAAGAGAACATGACGTAAAACAGATATAAAAAGCAAAAGAAACTGCTGAAAACCGGATAAAAACGCTGCAATGGCGTTTGAAATCCTTCATTTGGCGGCTTTTTAAAGTGCAAGTTTTTGCTCCAGGACCAGCAATTCGCAACACGGGGTTTCGATTTTTGATGCGTCCTTTAAAATTTTACCCTGCATTGACATTCTTCTTTCTTGGGACGTTGTCTGGATTGTTGCGCTTATTGTTCTAAGCAACAATCGCCCAAGCTGGAAAAAAATCGATGCGAAAGCAATGAAACAGAACAAGGTAAAACGCACTTTTTACGATTTTTCGCAAAAAGTTCCACCATAATCTAAAAGGTACGGGCTGGTTGGTTGTCTGCATTATGAATAGAAGCAAGATCTATAGAATGCACAAAAAAACGCGTGAAAAGAGTCAAACTAGGAGAGGAACAAGAGATTTTCGAAAACTAGGTTTTTGCCGGATTTCTCGATTAAATCAAAAAATGTGGTTCTGGGACGTAGTCAGCGCGAAAATAGAGATCAAGGGCTTCAGAATGATTTGAAGTTTGCTAGTGGGCTCGAAACATCGAAGAAAAGGGTATCAGAAATAGTCTGCGACCCGCGTTTGGGGTGCGAGGTAGCGCGCAGCGCGCGGAGACAGACCA